CAGAAGCAGAACGAGGCAGGCGTACGAGTAAGGGAATGTGAGAAGGAGAACAAGCCCGCGATCAAAGGAGTTGTTGTCTACTAAAAAAGCAGGAGGGACTTGAATTTAATTTGAAGATATATCTTTATGGTAGATTTGGCTTTTCTCAGAAGTACTTTTCTTGTCTGCCTGCTCTTTTTCTTTTATGTTTTAAACGCTGCCTCATTGTTAACCAACCCAACTACCTCTAGGATTCTTTCTTCCATAGCACTGCGCCAGTAAAGGCACTTCCAACAACCCAAAGAAGATTTGGTGAAGTGCTTTCAAAGTTTTAGGGTTTGGTTTTTTACTTGGTTAAACAATAAGCACTAATGGTGGGCAAAAAAGTTTAAAGTGTTTGTTCATTCCTAAACGGGAAGAAGAGTAAAAATGATTATCTTTCTAGTCTGAGGAATGTAAAATTAGAGACTCAACCTAAGTAAATTTTGAAATTTTGAACCCTAAGTAAACAATTATTGTGTTTTACATGTTATATCTTAAACAACTTTAAACCTCTTTTATTTGTAACAATTAAAGTACAACTCTCGTGTGTCACATTATTCTCTAGTGATATTGTAGGAAGAAAAATATGCTGCCGACACTAATTATGTTTAAGATTTGCATAGATCCTCTTGTTACAACCTTTAATGATGGATCACTTGACTTTTTACATTAGAATAAACCCTAAAAAAGTTGTCTATGCAAAAGTGTGCGTTGGATCTTGCTTTATATTTTAAGTAGGGTGTAAAAATAGTTTGATGTCAAACGACTACACACTAATTCCCCTTCGGGCCATGCATGTCCCATGGTGTTCGAATGTGCATGAAAATCTATTGGATTCTCTTTGTGTTATGTGACCCTCACTCTCAACACGTCCACACGCTCCCTCTCATATGATGAATTTTCAAGTCTAACACGTGAACAACATAATAGGGTGACCTGGATCACGTGTGACCGTTGGGCTTCACACCTATGACAACCTGCTTTGATACCATGAATAAAGTTAAGGGCTTGTTTGGTACTCTACTTAAATCCAACTTTTTAAACTCAAAAACAATTTTTAAGTTTTAGGCCTTAAAAACTTGTTTGGTATGACTATTTTCTAAAACTGAACTCAAGACTAACTTAAAAATATAGTATATTCTCTAAAAACATAAAATGTGAGTTTTTAGAGTTTTTAAACTTAAACTCACTCATTTCTTTTCTCTCCCTCCTCCCCTCTCACTCCAAATATCTCTCTCTCTCTCTCTCTCTCTCCTCTTTTTATTTTATTTTATTTTTACATTTTTTCATCTCTTCTCCAATCCACTCTCTTCATTCTCTTGGTTCTTTCTCTTACTCTTCTTCCTCTCTATCTCATCATATACTCTCTCTTCTTTCTCTTTCCTTCAATCATCTCTTACTTTCTTTCATCATCTCTCCTCTTTCTCTCTCTCGTGTGACCTTCCATTTTTAGATCTATTTGTCTAGTTTAAGTCGTAAGATTTAAAAATTTTAAATCTTAAACCAATCAAGTTTTTTAGTCTTAAAGAAAATTATTTTCAAGAAATGTTCTTAAGAAATGTTTTGAGAAATGATAAAAATTTTCAAATAGGATAACAAATAGACTCTAAAGTTCCACCATAAAATCAATTGGCAACATCTGAAGCAACCTAATCTTTTATAAGCACATGCAAGGTCTCTCATTTTCCTAATATGAGATTGATAACTCTCAACAAAGTACTACCTCATACATATTGTACCCCTTGAAGAAAAACATTTTTGATCTCATAAAATCTACGTCAAGAAAAATATATAAAAGGTAAATACATATAAAGAAATGATTTTTACATACTTTTTCTCATTTTTCACATATATATTTAGTTATTGATTGAACAAATGAAAACAAGAATCAATGGCTGAAATCAAGAAGGCTATCTAAAAAGTACAAATATATATATATATATATATATTTTTTTTTTATGTAAAGAATTTAAGTATTACTAAAAGAAATGAATATTATTACATTTCAGTAAGCAATCTATATTTTGAGAATGTTCGGTTTATGTTAAATTAATTATTCCATCTTGTCGAACCTAAATTAAGCCAACTGCCAACTTCTTGTCACGCAATCTTTTTGTTGAAAATGTTGAAAATGAACTAGGTTTACGTGAAGTTTTGAGAATACGAACACAACGTATATTGCACTGGATAACTCAGAAGCATTCTTATTAAACTGAAAGACATCAACCAGCTATTAAATAGCCTTACATCAACAAGAAAAATGAAATAACAACCCACGATAACAATAACCCTAGAATCGTGGTAATCGGCTAATTCAAAAACAGATAACAAACTTGTCCCTCAAGTATAGGAGGGTTATTAGCACGTCCAGGGTATAAGCCCTAGAATAAAGGAAACCTATCAACTAGAATCTTTGACAACTTCAACATCCTCCCTTAAACTGAATACTATTGATTCAGTTTATTCCAGGCCATTTGCATACACCCATTAGGTCTCGCAGTTTCTGAAATACTTCAAGTTTCAGTAGCTTCGTCATCACGTCTGCAATCTGCTCCTGAGTAGAACACTGCAGCAGCTCCACTACTTCATCCTTAACAAGATCTCGAAGGAAGTGAAACCTTACATCTATATGTTTACTGCGACCATGCATTACTGGATTCTTTGACAGCTTAATTTGAATGGGTTGATCACAGTATACCTTTGTTGGACCGTTTTGCCCTTAGAATTTAGCATCTCAAGGCCATATACCTTGTACATAAAGTTGCCTTCCTTCAGAAGAGTCAACAGGAATGAATTCTTATATTCTTAAGAGTAGAAGAGTCACTGACAAACTGGTTGCTGTCTTCGTGAGACCAATGATCACTGTGCACCTGAGTCGACGAGTTTGAAGTCGATAAGGGTACATACTGCATAACTTGACAGTACTTCACTGGCTGTCATCTTGAATATCTGGTCATGTCTGTGCTCAAAAAGGACATTTCCTGAATCCCTCTTTGATAAAATAGGCCTTCGACTATTCGAGTGTACCAGCTTGAGAGCCCGTATTATTGCCTTGAGACGATTAGACATTGCCTTTCGCTTCCTTTCTGTTCATATCCAAGTGGTTGTTCAACGAAAACCTCTTTATTGATCTCTCCATGCAAGAAAGCTGCTTTGACGTCGAGTTGGTAAATCTTCCAGCTCCTTTGTGCATCAATGGATATAACCATGTGCCAAGTATCCATTCGTGCAATATCCCTTCGCAACAAGCCGAGCCTTAACTGTCTACCTCCCAATTTTCAATTTTGTCTCCTTGAAAACCCAATGGTTTTCCCAACATGGTTTTCTTCCCTTTCATCTCTTCCAGTCCACTTTTCCCACGTATGGTTTCTTCTACTATTTCAGCTTCATATCTTCATCATCCATTAGTCTCTTCCAAATTGTGGCTCGAGCTCGTTCTTGAGGTGCACTGCCATTTATGGCATCTTCTTAAAGATGCAATTGCTTCAGTAAGCTTCATCTTCTTCATCTCCATCGTAGAATCAAAGCAGATTCTTTCATGATTCCATCCAAATCAATTGTTGATCTTTCACTTTCAAATACTCCATACAAACGTCATCTCGACTTATGAGAAAAGATGATTTTATTTGAAATAGGATCAAACAATCTATAAGCTTTGGATTTTATTTCTTCACTTACCCAACTTTGGATACATTTTTGGGGCTTTTGTCATCAAGCTTCAATCTTTTGCTATCTGGTACGTGCACATGAGAGATGCAACCAAAAACCCCTAAAGTGCTCTACCGAGGGTTTGCGCCCTCTCCATGCTTCCTCAGGTGTTTTGCTCTTTACTGCAAGGGGTCGGACTTTGATTCAGCACGTGCTTTAGGCCAGGAATTCGTTTATACTGAGAATATCTTCATGATAGTTCGATTCTTCTGTTCATTCTGTTGATAGGGTTCAACTGCCTTTGAAATAGTCTTCAGAAATCTGTGAATTCTTGTGGTTCTGTTCGAATCAGTCCTCATTTCCTCCTTATGAATGATCCAGTTCCTTCTCCACTTTGGCTTTTGTTGTTGAATACGGTGAAGGCTTCTGAATTTCTCCACCAGTTAAACCCAAGTTCTTCTACTATATAGTCATCAGTAAAAGTGATAAAATATCTCTTCTTACTGTTTGAGATTGGATTATGGACCACAGATGATGTCAACGTTCTATCAGGGAAAGAGATCTTTGATGCTAGCTTCCACCACTTTCCCTAGGAAAGAGTCACGATGCTGCTTCCCCAGGCAGCCTTCACACACGTTCTGAGAAGCTTTGAGCTTTGGCAGCCCCTTAACCATGTTCTTTTGTTGTAGCACCTTCAGACCGCTCCAACTTAAGTGTCCATATCGACAATGCCAGCGATCAGCTTGATCTGTGGTTGTCATAGAGAGACAACTTTGTTCCTTTATCGGACAGCGAGCACACAAGGAAAACATCATGTTGTATGTCATCTCAGTTTCGAGAATGAGACCTTTCTCAGGGTGAAAGATCTTACACTTTCCATGTTGCATGAGCACTGCGAGTCCCCTATCTTGCAGTTGACCAATACTCAACAAGTTATTCTTTAATTCAGGTACAAAGAAGACGTCTGTAATCACATGTACGATCCCATGCACCTCCATTCGTACTTTGCCTTTGCCTTGCACACTGAGACTGAAGTTGTTTCCCAGCTTGACTGACTCTCTGAAGTTTGCATCTATTTCGACAAACGCTTCCTTTCTACCACACATAAGGTTGCTACATCCTGAGTCAAGAAACCAAATATGCTCCGTCTTAGCTTCCTTTGTATCGCCTCTCGCTCTCCTTAGCCTTTGTATCCACCAGCGCTCCGTCTCAGCTTCCTTGGCATCCACGCAGCATCTCCTCATTTGTTTCTGCAAAGTTAGCCTTGGAGTCCCTAGTTTTCTTAGGACATTCCCACTGAAAGTGCCCTAGTTCGTGACAGTTGTAGCATTCTATGATAGATTTGTCGAACCCAAATCTACCCATTCCTCTACTTCTTCCCCGATAGGAGCCTCGGCCACCACTTCTTCCTCCTTGCTGGACTCCAGTGGTAACTTGAGAGCTTGTTCGTCCATCACATGTTGACCCACCCTTTGCTCATGCACAAGCAGACTGCTCTGAAGTTCATCAATGGATAGAGTATCCAAGTCATTCGACTCCTCAATCGAACAGACCACATAGTCAAATTTTGACGTCATAGACCTCAAAACTTTCTCAATGATCACTATATCCTCCATTCTTTCTCCATGCACCCTCATCTTATTAGCTATGGTGAGTGTCTTCCCAAAATAATCATTAACAGTTTCTCCAGCCTTCATATGCAATATTTTGAACTCCTTTCGAAGTGCTTGCAACTGAGCACGCTTCACACGTGCAGTTCCTTGGTACTTCTGCTTCAAGGAATCCCATATGTCTTTCGCCATGTCCTTCTTCAAGATCGTTTTAAGGATTGAACGATCAATGGCCTGAAACAAGTAGTTCTTGGCTTTCAGGTCTTTCAGCTTCAGCTCCTCCTGTGCCTTCTTCTGTGAATCACTCGAGTCCGCTCCTCCTGTGACTGCAGTGATCCCCGTCTCCACCAGGTTCCAATACTCCTTGGAACGCAGAAAGTTTTCCATAAGCATGCTCCAGTGATCGTAGTGCCCATTGAGCCTCGGGATGGCAGGTTGCACAAAACTGTTATCGGACGTCATATTCTTGTTCTTTCACGCAAGCAAATGAGTTTGCTGGTTTTTGGTCAGGCCCCTGTGATGGGGCTCTGATACCAGATGTTGAAACTGAACTAGGTTTACGTGAAGTTTTGAGAATACGAACACAAAGTATATTGCACTGGATAACTCAGAAGCATTCTTATTAAACTGAAAGACATCAACCAGCTATTAAATAGTCTTACATCAACAAGAAAAATGAAATAACAACCCACGATAACAACAACCCTAGAATCGTGGTAATCGACTAATTCAAAAACAGATAACAAACTTGTCCCTCAAGTATAGGAGGGTTATTAGCACGTCCAGGGTATAAGCCCTAAAATAAAGGAAACCTATCAACTAGAATCTTTGACAACTTCAACAGAAAAAATGGTTCGAACTATAGAAATCTTGGGTTAATAACATTTAAAGCTATCATTTTCAAGTCGATTCGTTTCTACAAAACCTGATTCATGTTGCACAAACATGACCTAAATCGATGTGATGGTTAACCACACAGTAGTCTCGATTTTCAGTACTGTGGAAATACTTCACCGACCTTTTGATGTTTTGGATCACATTTAAAGCTAGACCTAATACTGATGAATTCATCTAAAATTGCTCTTCCTCGATCGAGCACTTGTTTGAGATCACAAAAGCCGTATAGCCAGGCCAAAGGTTCCATGACATAAGCCATGAACTTGCATTCAGTACTTTACAAACGGAAACCCTATTTGAAGCAACTGACATATAATATCCAAATTAATCCTGCCGTATAGCTTAAGCAACATAGCATACATCTTTCAGCCATTGCAAGCAAGCAACAACGAGGCGGAGTTCCATCACGTGTGTGCGTACAGAGAGGTTTACAGTCACACTTGCATGCACGTGCTTGGACTTCTAGTTCTACGTCCCTTGCAATTGCATGTGCCATACGAGTTAGGGTTTATAGTTTCTAACAATTTGTAGATAAGTTTGACTTGTACGCTTCAAATTACATTTATATGTATTAATTATTCTTCTTCTTATAGTCAATGAGAAAATCAACGAGTAGATCAACCATATTTTTCATATTAAGTCAATTTATTCCAATAAATATATAATATAAAGAAAAACTTTAAAATAAATGATAAGATGTATATAACGTTAATTATTAGTGCGTATTGGTTAAGTCACACAACATATCAATAATAATTTAATATCGAATTCGTTATTTATGAAATTTAAAATGTATCATTTATAAGCAGACAAAAATATCACTAAATTGTAGTATTAATGACGATATATGTATATTGTGATGGTACAAGTTGGTGCATAAACTTTAACCATTACCCTTTAACTATCAGTTAGAAATTTATTGCTTGGAGGTTTGAATTTTACATTTTTGAAACGTTTGAAACAAGTTTTCCGTCTAGGTTTGGTGAAGGGAACATGTCCACATGCAATCGGTAAGAGTTTGTTTTTATACAAAAGAAAAGAAAAAAATGCTTGGATTTTACTTTTCTTGAATTTTCTTTCTAATTGGTCAACGCTCTTTCAATTGGGTTGGCCCAGATTATGAGGCCCATATCATGATAACTTGGGTTGGCTCTAGATAACCCTACAGTTTCCCTATCCCATAGCAATGGCTGCTAAAATTTGGAGGGACTCCATCACCACCACAGTGGCCGGCAAAATGGTCCTACGAATTGACAGTACTGAGTACGAAATTTGGGATGGCACGTGGATAAGAAATTTAGGAGGGCACAATATCTGTCTTACTAGGGCTGTACAAGCATCAAGCATGGAAGGGAAAGTAAAATGTTTAAAGGGAAAACTGTACAGTACAAGATTTTCTAGTATGGAGTTGCACATTCAACTTTTCGTTCATTCGGTGCATGTTATACATGTAATAATTGTAGAGTTTTCAGTTAGACTAATTGTGCCGTCTAAACACAATAAAATGGTAAGGAAAATGCTACTTTTGCATTGCCTAAGTTTTATTTATACGATTTGTTAAAAGATAATCTGCTCTACAATCGTTGAGAAGAAAGCATATTAAAAGTTGACGTTGATATATGTATTTATCGTAAAAAAAAAAAAAATCTAAATCATTGCTAGATCAGGATTCTCCATTTATCAAATGTTGAAATTGAGACCTTGAGAAAAGAAATCTAGGAAAGGATAAAAATGAGTGAGCGTCATATGGTTGTGGCTGTCCGAATGGTACTTTTCATGTTATAAGATGGGTGCATGGATTGGATATATGATAGAGAAAAAGAAAAACCTAAGCACTGCCAATTGAGTCCAGCTCTGCACTAAATGAAAAAGAAGATAACAAAAAGTAAAAATCCATTGAACGACAGCATGGTCACCCACTAAAACGTATAGTACAGAGTTTGAAGACGTGCTTCAATGACAAGACGATGAGCTTTGGAACCACTAAACAAAAGCGAACCGGCTTCAAGTTTTATTACAAACTACTTTACAACTTCGCTCAACCAATGAATACCAAGACATCTCACACCATAATATAAGAAGAAGACTTACCTGAAACGAGAATATTAAAGATATAAAATATTAGTGTCTGAAACATATCACGTGTTGTCATGTATTTCATAAGAGGAACAATTGCTTGGACTCGAAGAGAAGAGAGTGAAGTTAGGTTGGGCAGAGCAAGTACTGTTTATTACATTTTAGGAAACAATCCCACATGAAAGAGGCCAGCATGTCGGAGGAGCACTAAGTGTCTCATTAGGACTTCCTCCTCAACTCTCAACCGATAAAGTTCTTCATGCACGCTTGGTCTGGATTGGGGGCCCCTCCCCCCCTTCACATGCAGCACCACCATAAAGGAGCAAAACTTCATTACAAAAGTACATAAAGGAGCAAAACCCTAATCTTTTGTTATTAAATTTAAACAGCCTGGAGCTGGTTTAATTACCTCATCAGATAACTAGTTAAGAACATGCATGCATGCAGCTTAGGCACCGACTCGGCCACAAATATCGCGGTGGGCTGAGCCTTCTAGGTGGTAGGTTTGGCAATGAGATTAAGCTACGTGCTAAGATGCTATTGGACGATATTTTATAATCTCGGTGGGATTTGGCACGCTCGAGCCGGACCTAGTTCCGTCCCTTACCTCTTTTGTCAAGTTAAACCAACATGCATGCAACCTAAATACCTAACTAAACTTTTTACTTTTGTCATCGAAAATTACTTACTTCGTAAACCCTTATTCCATTCAGTTTGAGCGCCAACTGAATTTGACTTTGCAAAAAAATTTGTAATTTATAAAGTTGTTCAAAAGAAAGAAAAAGAAAGAAGAAAGAGACACATTGGTTGTATAGGATCGATAAATATTTGCATCATGCATGATGAGCTTTGTTAATATTTTCATTCATTAAGCTAATCAAATCAATTGAATTGAGACATCACATTACTATTGTCGGGTGCGAAATGATAATTGTTAGGATAATTACTAGATTTAAACATGACTAGATGCTCCCACAAATTTAGAGAGATGGCATGAAACAAAGGGTGAAGGGTTTTCCCTTTTCCAAAAGGAAAATAAAGATATGCTTCGATCTTTTGTTTCAAATTGTACATTCTTTGACAAGTTCAAAACTTTATCACTCCCATTAGGAAAGCGAATTCAAAAGCATGTGTGGGTTACGTCAATGGGTTAAGGTAGTATTTTATCTCATTCATTGAAGTTTAAGTTACTCACATCGTAAATTAGAATGAATTAAAATATCCTACTGTAAAATAAAAACATTAAGTGGTTAATTATGTCAGTTAGTTAATACAGTGTGCGTGTCTCATTCACTCTTAATTTCAGATCATCAACTTCGTAGATTAGAGTGGTTGAGAATATTGTATTATCATATCAAACCTAAATACTTAGCCTATGTGCCTATAATCTAGTCACAATCGCAATACTATCTCAAATCTTTATAGGAGTAATTAGGGCTTTTAATCTGATTGTGGCAAGGAAAGGGACCATAACATGGCTACAAATACAATAGGCTAGTGGGTGAAAGTTCCATTTGTGATGTTCAAACATGGCCCAGTTGCAGAAATAGTGATGGTTGATGGTTCGAAGAAAAGAACAAAACATCTGGGCATGGTGGGCATCTTACAAATGCAGGATGTGCATTTGTCTGGGGCACAAACCCGGCTCCGCACATGATTGTGGGGAAGGAGAAGATGATGGTCCCCGCAGAAAATATTCCACTACCCCCATTTCCATTGGTAAAAAATTTCAATGGGAAAAATGTATCGAGATTCTCTCCGGATCTCTTAATTCGGATCGATCGAAAATTCTGAACTGCTCATTTTGAATTCTATGGTCTTTCTAAGCCCATTCACTAACTCATCTCACAAATCAAGAATCCGGATCTCTCTCCCTCTCTTGAACTGGGACTGCGAGAGCCAGGGAAGATTTGAATTCAGAAAAATTGTTCTCACTTGGGTAAATTATAATATACTTTAATTATAAACAATTTTTGTGGTGGAGGGTGAACTTTACACTCACATCTTAGTAATTACACGAGATGGTCCAAGAAATCCGATCCCTGAAAAGAAATCTGGCCCAGAAAATGGTTATTTTCAATAAGGATATGATAAATTTTTTGCAGCAGCATGTTAGATCCTTTCGATATATGCATGCAAATTGCAGGATATGTAGAGGACCAATATTTGATAGTGAAATTGTATGTATTAATATGTGCATGTTAATATGTTACGTTGCACTCCCCACACAACTTAATCCAATTTTTTTTTTTTTTCCGTTATCTTTGTTCTTGTCTGCAATCTGTGACAGCAGCTAATATGTCAACCATGCCAAGTGAATAAAAAGCTTCTCAGATATCAACCTAGATTCATGTTGCTTGACCACGTAGCCGTTTATTTAATATCGACGTTTTGTCCATATTATTGGTGTTTGTTATTGACATTTCAATACGTAAGTGTCAAAATCTGTCGATGTATTTGTCGCTAAAAGTCTAAATAAAATAAATGAA